CCCCAAAACCCCAAAACCCCAAAACCCCAAAACCCCACGGAGTGATTCATGGATTGAAATGATTATATATTGGTTGCGATATTTTAATAATCAATAAATATGGAAAGCAAACAAAATATCGCATCCAAATATATATCTTCTGATGGTGCTGGAGGTGCTGAAGAGTCAAAAGAATCTCATCAAGAGGACCCATTCTACCTAAAATCACTGGAGAGTGAAGGCCAGACAAAGCCTACCGTGGGGAGCTTCAAAATTAAGGCAAGTATTGTCTCAAAGGCGCTGGAGAACTTCTTTACTTACACCCAAGATTGCCAAAGATACGAAGGAGGTATCCAAGAGCTCCATCAACAGTGGGGACACCAACTTGTCCAACTTAAACTTAAGGCCAACAACATTGAAGATGAAGGGAGACTCCAAGAACTTGAAGACCTTGATAAAGAAATCAATCTGCTGAAGAAGGAGATGAGCAACCAAGACATCTTTGCTAAGTTTAAGGATGAATCCTATTGGAGACTTCTCAAAGAAGAGGTGGTGGCTAGCATTTAATCTTGAAGGTAATGCTTCTTCACTAAAATTTAGGTAGCGCTCGTCCTATAGACGTCGCGAAGGATCAAACTGAACCAGGAAAGGATGGACTTGCCCAAAAAGATTCCTTAAACTTGTTGAACAAAAGAAACAACCCATCCTCTGACAAATCATCGCTACAATCTCTGGTCCACCCTTCCAGAAAAAAGCTCTAGAGGAGGCTCAGCTACATAAAGAATCTAGCGATGGTAATGCCGAGATGGAGGTGAATGAAAGTTATCAAATTATTTCACAAAATATTTCTAACCGCAAAATTGTTGATAAAACTAAACTTTTTAAACAATTATAAAAGTGTTCTGTTTGTTATGCAATTTTAAATTTAGCCTAAACGATAATAGTCATATAATTTTAATATCTTATAACTGATTAATAAATCTATTCTGTGAATGAAGACAAGATACACCCCATTTTAACCAAGAAAAATGAAGCTGAAGATCGAATTGTCACAAGCCATGAAGAATCGAAATTTGTCCAACAACCCGCCCAGCCCAAACCCGCTTTGGACAGACTCCACTTCCCTTCGACAGGATTCGACTACTACTATTGGCTTCAACAGGGCTGACAGAGGCCTTTTGGACCAGTTACTGATCTCGAACTATGGATGAACAGACCAAGAGATATGAATGTGATCAAGGGGCTTGACAAAAGACTTCCTGATTTAGAAATATTGATTATTAGGAAGATTCCTAGAGAGAGTCAAGAGGAGGCAAGGAATTGTGTTGCCAAGTATTTCCCAAAAACAGTTAAGAGGTTTGACTTTAATCTTAAATCTGCTCTGGGTAGCATTGACCTATACCACTCTGCCTTGCTGGTTGCTGCTCCTTGTGTGACAGAGAGGGTTTTTCTTTGTAATTTTAAGATCTCCCAGCCCCAGACCATCGCTCTCCTCGCTGCCTTTCACAAGGTCACAATATTTGTCTTCCTCTCCTGCATTCTGCACATGCCTTCTGTGCCTTCCTTCCCAGACTCCATGGAGAACTCCAACATTCGGTCATTAGATTTCTCCTTCTCAGGAGATAGCGCCCATGGAGACTGGGGGAAGGACAGCTCGTGCTTCAGTAACTTGATGGCTGGGCTCGCACAGGTCGACACCCTCAGGGAAAACTTGCAGACGGTGTTTATGTGTTACTGTGGAATGGAGGAGGAAGAAATAAAGGAGATCTTGGAGAACTGCGGACTAGGTAATGTGTATATTTGTTGCTAATAAATTCTTAAGTTTCAATAGCTGTCACAGATGCTGGGGTTTTGGGGTTTTGGGGTTTTGGGGTTTTGGGG